CATATTAAAATCAAACTACTAAGTAAAAATACATGAATAAAAACTAAGAACTAGTATAGTAAAAAAACCAAATATTTTCATATCCTGATCAAGATAGCTAAAACCACTACTAAAATCAGATGATTATGTTTAGTAGTTTGTAGTTGATTAGTTTGTGTGATGAGAGATGCTAGTGAAATTAATTTCACTAATTCAACATCGATTTCTCTAGCATCTTTAATAATCACTTCAGTCTTAACTTTTTCAATATCCATTCATCTAATTTATGAGTCACTAATGATATTATGAAATAGGTAAAATAGAGCTGTATAAAAACACGATGTGCTCTGGACTTATAATTGACAAAACTAAGTATATATTTCGTGTCTGAAGTTGCTACTTCAGACATCTGAATTAACAATTCCAGATAAGAGGCAACTTTATGCACGACATGTGAGCACTGATAAATAAAAATATATTTCTCGATTTTAGAATACTTAAAAAACATGAATGATCTCATGTGTATAATTGCCTTTATTATTGCTTTTTATATCTTTTATATTACACTAGTCCAAATGATAAAATCAGTACAAGTTCATTCTATCGAAGATGGAGTAATTTGCTATCAAATATGCTGAATGCCTACTGGTTACTGATGATATTCTGTAAACAATCAGCATACATAATTGGCCTTTAGCTAGCATTCAGAAAGCAGACTAGCTAAATACTAATAGAATGCTATCAATAACTAGTAAGCATTCAGTATATTCAGTGACCAATTACTCTACCTTAAATTATAATGAACTTGTACTGATTTTATCATTTAGATTAGTGTTATCAGTCTTAAAGATAATATAATAGTAGCATTAATCAATTTGACTAAATATTATGTAAATATAAGTCACGGAAAAAACATTTCTTAACTATCTGGGATTGGAACAGATAAATCCTATAAGGTTAAATACTTGCAAATTAAGAGTTACATAACTAGAATGGGTATTCAGTAATTCAGATCTGAATACATAATATATATTAAATATTTGAATAAGCCATTCCAGATATATTATCAAAAACAATGAATATTTGAATCTAAACTCTACGCATCTTATTTGATACTTCCAGAAATATGCTACGCTATGAAATATAGTATCATCTACAAAGTGAATCAGAGCGCTAAAGTGCTAGCCACATTCTTGCCTTCTTGCAAGCCAAAAAAGATCAGAAACACTGTAGTTAATATTGTCCAAGCCAACAATGTTGATATTTTTGGTTATGAAAATAGATAATAATAATAGTATAAATGACTGAAAAATGAAGCAACTCTAATGAGTAACTAAAAAGTTCGACTACATGACTAAAGATATGCAATGGAATTCATGTACGTATATATACAGTATGTACATATTAGGGTTCTGCAAGTATCAGGCACAAGCACTATTAAAACTTAGTACTAGGCACAGGCCTGGACACTATTTTTAATAGTATGTGCTCGGCACTTGCAGAACTCTAGTAAATACAAGTCTTTGTAGTAAAAAGAGCAGAAACTTTAATTTTATTTAGAAATATTTAAACAGATCAATAATCTGCTATGTAAAATATCACATATTAATAGTAGAAAATTTCTACTATCTCAATGCAATCTTTTACTCTGTGAATTGTTGATCAGTTTATGTGTAATTAACCTTTCAAATTCAATTATTTCAAGTTAATATAGTTTTTGCTATTTTTATTACAAAGGCCCCATATATACGCTTATTTATTATTATTGTACTTGGTGCTATCTTTTATTCATATGATTGAACCTTTATTGGTAGCCTGAATAAGGTCAGAAGAAGTGATAATAATAATTATCATGGAATAATGCATAGTAATGATAAAAAAATGTAGTAGCCTAAGATCCTAAAATATAATCTTTGTTTCCTCTATAATTTTTGTAATTTATTTTAGTATGAAGGAATAGTTTATTAAATATATTGTATGTCTTTAGATTCAAATTTTCCTCCTTTCTTTTATCTTCATAGAGCTTTTTCTATGTTTCTTCTTTGATTTTTTCTAACACTTGTTTTGAT